GTGTGTGTGTGTGTGTGTGTGTGTGTGTGTGTGTGTGTGTGTGTGTGTGTGTGTGTGTGTGTGTGTGTTGTTTGTTGTGTGTGTGTGTGTGTGTTGTTGTGTGTGTGTGTGTGTGTGTGTGTGTGTGTGTATGTGTGTGTGTGTGTGTTTGTGTGTGTATGTGTGTGTGTGTGTGGGTGTATGTGAAACTGCACGCGCACAGTGTCTGACGAGAGTTCTGGACCTGACTACTCCTCGAGTACTACTCCCTTGCGTAACGGTGCCTCTGCTAGGCGCAGAAGAGATACAAGTGAACATTTCGACGTCTGAGAGTTCGAGCTTTATGTGTAATAATTTGTGTTAAAATCGGTACACGTACCGTATTTGACTATGATTTGCTCAGAGTCACATTCAATCGCCACCACTCTACACAGTTCGATCACACAGATGGCAGTGAGTCTGAAACCCTAAAATTCTAAAACATACATGTTCAACTTTTAAGTGTATCATATATATATATATTCTAACTTACAGAAGCTACGAAACAGCTTCAAGTCAACTTCAGATCAAAAAGATAAAGTCATGATTATAGACGAAACCAAAATTTGTACAATACTTTGTTGCGAGATTTATATACAACTGCACGGATGTGAGAACCAGAAAAATACTGATGCTTTACCAGCTCGTGTAAGTTTGCTTGGATTTATGTGCAAAATCATCTACTATGCACCTAAAAACTACATAAATATAGGACCGGGTTACACCTCTAGCGACAGTTCTGTACACCTTCTGCTCTTGGCATGGATTGTGTCCCCCTGGTGAACGATGATTCCCAGTCGAGAGAGTCGTGATTAAAATATAATTCAAAAAGCTGTGGGCTATATCTTATGCGCTCGATGAATACTTTTGGCGAATTTGAAGCTTGCTTTGGAACAGCTCAATACTCCCGCAAACAAAGCATAGACAATAGTGTAGATACAATACATAACAGTTAATAAAATATTTATCTATATGTGTGTCTACTACTACGATCTACGAATATACATAAACATGCTGTGATACTAGCAATGTATAAACATGACTGAGCTTGTTAAAATAAAAATCCTGCCTAAAGATACCCTAATCGATATAAACACCGGATTTTCTCCACATTAAAGATGCTGGTTAGTTCTATACATAAGCAAGGGATGAGCAATTCTGACATTTCGTTTAGCATACACAAAACACATATTCGTAAAAGCACATGTTCGTTCACAAACGTCCATATCTACCCTTTACACAGCTATGTATGTACCACAAGCCGCCACCCGTGGCAAAAACTAATTCGCACACACATCAAATTTAACCATCGCATCAGGTGTCTAATATATTTTGACCCACGATCTGCGTATTAAGTTCTACAATCTTGCACAAGTCATCCGTGTATTTAAACTTACAAAGGTACCCTGTTGCTGCAAATAGAATAGCGTTCGAAAAGCTCATGAATGGTCACGCACCTCCGTTCTCCAAGTGAAAGTTTGGGTCCAATCCCTTCTCCAGTATGTCCGTCACTTTCGAAACGCTTTTCTTATCGATGTACTCGACGAGCTTTTGGCGCAAGGCAGCTTTCTTTTTGTAGGTGCGGTGCTTCTTGGCCTCCGCAGTGTTTTTGTATATCCGCTCCTTTCTACGCTGTTCATGATGGACAAGAACCTACCGTTAACTACTATCGAAGATTAAACTTGGCATAGCCTATCCCGTATCTCAGGTGTCCCAATTGGTCATAACACTGATACCAGTTCAGACTTACACATCAGCGTCTCCAGATATGAAATATGCTGTGCTTTCTGAGAGACAGTCGCTACTTAATTGATGAAACACTCTGCACACTTGTGTGCTCGATAGCTTCAAAAATGTGGAGCTGAATATTGGCCAGTGGAGTAATAGTGAGAGAAAAAAATACAAAATACTGTTTTATCAGTATAAGAAATAGCGCCCGTGCTAATACCGTTTTTATACATATGTGCACATGTATATAAATGAAAAAGAATAGCCATATACCTGTATTCGTAATCCTCAAAATAGCACATATATATATACATATATATATATAAACGGCAAGTGTATGCATGACTCTGATACTATTGGTATTTTGTTCAATCAGTTATACATACATACTCGGTAAGGGTTACTTGAACTTCCATTGGTTTGTAGACCATCATAAACTCAATTCGGGAATGATATATTTTTGAACAAAAGTATTTCTTTTCTTCGTGGATTTGCGAAACCGTGCTATACATCACAGAAGAGTTTTCACGATTATTTGATACATACCACAATGAAGACTGTATTAGAATCCATATTGGCGTTAGCATCGCCGATAAGACTTTGAGGCCTGAGATATATCGGTTGCGTGCTGTCGTCGACCGTCTCCAAGTAAATCCCAAAGTGAAGCCCATATTTGTCGCTTATGCCGAAGTTTTTCATCAGGTACTTCTGGGTCTCCCAAACAGTCTGTAGGGGGTCCAGTGGCACTAGTTTTGTCATCTGTAACGACGGCACGCACACATTGTATGCACCAGCTTCTATATATACTGACCTACGTCGTGCCATATTGACGATACAGGGTATTTAGTTTCCAATCTGCTTGCTTCGCACTATGTAGACGGCAACTGTTTTGGATCTACAAATAGTGTTTCTGCGTGAATATAGAGAGATTTTTTTCGCCGAGGTGGGGATGGATGTATGTAAACTACTAGTACATGGGCGATCGCACATCTCTACTAGTGACTTATTAGCTTCCCACCTTAGATTTCTTTTTATACAGCTGGTATCCTAAATATTTTTATTCTATTACCGCTGTTACTTTACAATACAAATATGTAAATAAATGATGACAATGTGAATGAATACAAATAGATGAAAAAGATAAGGGTTTTAGGCTGTTAGCGTGTGATGCGTTTTTACACAAAAAAGAGAAAGAAGAGAGGAGGACTTTTTGCTCTTCTTCCCGGTAGTTACGATCATCAGAACCAATGAGATGTGCTAAATGTTCAAGCTATAAATATTAAGAGAAATCAACTGGAGTAGAGAGTAGAGACTCTAGAGAGAGACTAGTAGTCGAGACTTCTAGAGAGCGACTAGTAGTCGAGACGCTAGAGAGAGACCAGTAGTCGAGACTTCTAGCGAGAGACTAGTAGTCGAGACTCTAAGAGAGAGACTAGTAGTCGAGACTTCTAGAGAGCAACTAGTAGTCGAGACGCTAGAGAGAGACTAGTAGTCGAGACTTCTAGAGAGCGACTAGTAGTCGAGACGCTAGAGAGAGACCAGTAGTCGAGACTTCTAGCGAGAGACTGGTAGTCGAGACTCTAAGAGAGAGACTAGTAGTCGAGACTCTAGAGAGAGCC